AGTGAATCATGGATATAAGAAGAGGAAAGATTAGATTCTTTGTTTGTAACTGTTAGATCCAGATTAGTATAAAAGAAAATTCAATAAGATTAATAATAAGTTACCTAGGGCTGAGACGTGTCGTTGGCATAGTCTGTTATACCAACGACACGTTGGTCTGTCTCACTCTTTCGAACTAGTTAGCGAACTCTGCTTGATCATTAAGGTTTCATCATCATCATTCTCTGAGGTTTCCCACCTCACGGGCGACACATCAAAAGATTGATTGCTGCTCAAGCTATATAGTTTATTCCATATTATTCGTTAATTTTGCCTATATAAGCGGGTGTATGGCCCGAACGTTGGTCCCACTTCTATAAAGCCGCAAGACACGAGAACCCTCTCATCGTGGCCGCCGGTAACTACATTCCCGATCCTGCGGACAGAATGGAAAGCAGTCGACGTCGCCCCAAACACGTCATTTCGGATCCTCCCGATCCACTAACGGTGCTTTTAGGTACCTCAAGCACCGGTCACCGTTCTCGTCGAACCCGTCGCTTGCGACGAAGGGCTCGACGAGAAAATTAACCCTCAGACACAGCTGACTGAGTTTCTCGCCGGATCTTCTCAGTGGGTCGCGTTTCCGATCCGGTGTTCGTGTTAGCAACGTCGTCAGGTTTGAGCCCCGTGAGCTCACCTACTAGTTGAGGTTACGCTGGAATAGCCTCTCAAGGTTAACAGCTTAGGTAGGGCAAAAAAAAGAACGTTGGTTCAGTTCTATTTGAGTTACCGAGGTGATAACTTGGACAAGCGATATCCTAGCGAACTGATCGAGACGTCAACTTGTTTTGTGACTTTGTGTGCATCTTGAGTGGTTACTAACTATAGTTTGTTATCTATATATTAATACGTGAAGCAAAAACTTTGTACCACTTTTTACGAAAATTGCGCGGACGGAGGAGTATGAAATTTCTCACACTTATAGAGAATATAGAGAAGGAGTGCACAATGCTAATATTTTTTTTAAATAATGCATAAAAGATACTTTAAATCAATAAAGAAAACATTACATTACCATGTATTTGACACAACACATACATAAAAATATACTCTTTGCTTACTGTCAATTGTAGAGCAAGAGCCCGCGATAGCCAGACCTTCGTTATTTTATAAAAGCTGAAAGTTTCTCTGTGTATGTCTCCAACACAGGTAAGAACGACCCGCGATTATAGAGTTCCGATTGTGGTTACTTGGGCAGGTAACAGGCAGTAAAGGTATATAAAATAGTACCTTAAATTCGTTAAAGTATAAAGGTTTTTTTTTTTAATATTTACTCCAGAATATCTTTAGAAATCANCGCTCGCACCTACAGCGGGCTCTCAATGTGTCTGGCAAGATGTAAGAACCATTAAAACTGTCCGGCTCTTGGGGTAACATATTTTTATAAGTCCCTAAGTAACATATATAAAATTTAGCTTTTATAGTATAACGAAAGTATAATTAAAATTTATTAAAGTTTAAGGGTGTCTGGCAGGGGGTAACAACTGGAAAAAGTGTCTGGCAACGGATATCATGATTTCTAAAGATATTCTGGACTAAATATTAAAAAAAAAACCTTTATACTTTAACGAATTTAAGGTACTATTTTATATACCTTTACTGCCTGTTACCTGCCCAAGCAACCACAATCGGAACTCTATAATCGCGGGTCGTTCTTACCTGTGTTGGAGACATACACAGATAAACTTTCAGCTTTTATAAAATAACGAAGGTCTGGATGTCGCGGGCTCTTGGGCTATTGGGAAACTTTTGTTATTGTTTAAAGTCTGTGGTCGAATTGAAAATAGATTAATATTGTTTGTCTTTAATAATAAGTATCTGTAGTACAGTTTTGGCGAATACTGTGATTATATTATCGAAATATAATAGTGTTTGACAATAGAAGCATAATAATGTTGAAACTTATAATTTCAATTAATTATAGTCGAATCTCGACTACTGCGGGGCCACTAGTTAATTTTATTGAACGAAAAGTAAACAAAAATAATGTCTGGTGGAAGGAAACGAAAAGTAGATACAGAGGGTCGCCAGTTTCAAGAAAGATGGACTGAAGAATTATTTTTTATCTTGCACAACGGTAGGCCTATTTGTTTGCTGTGTAATGAATCCATTTCATTAATGAAAGAATTCAACATAAAGAGGCATTACTCAACTAAGCATGCTACGCTGCACTCACTGACAGGACAATAATAATTAAGAACGGACAAAATCCAGAAGTTTACCGCAAATTTGGAAAAACAGCAACAAATGTTTCATCAATAAAGAACACAACTTGATAATAATATTGTGAAAGCTAGTTTTATAGTTAGGTCAAAATTGGCAAAGGCATTAAAACCATTTGCCGAAGCAGAAGGAGGAGGAGGTTATCAAGAAGGTTATGTTAGAAGCTTACAGTATGTTGTGTACTGAAAAAAAAAATTTGAAAAAATTAGTTTGTTAACGTTTTGACAAACAAATTTTTTCATTTTCAATTAATTTTCATTCATATTTAATTCAAATTAATTTTCAATTAGTTCCTGCGAACAACAGTTCGTCAAACTTCAATATAGAAATGATGGCTAATGATATAAAAACAACATTGACTGACCGTATGGCTGGTTTTGAATTATTTTCCATAGCATTAGACGAGAGCAGTGATTTGTCTGACACAACTCAAATGGCTATATTTATTCGAGGTGTTCTTAAGGAGTTCACTGTTACTGAGGAATTGCTTGCTTTACAGCCGCTAAAAGGGACCACTACAGGAGAGGATATTTTTATTGAAGTTAAAAAGGTATTTGCAAGTTTTGGCTTGCCATGGTCAAAATTAATTGGAGTATGCACTAATACCTTCTATGGTCGGCTTACTTTTACGACTATATTTAGAGTTATTATATAGAGTTCGTTATTAATTAAAATTCTTAAATATTTTTTTAATTATCAGTTATTAATAAAAAAATATTATATTGAATAAATTATTTGTTTTTGCCTGTATGGATGTATATAACTGAAACGGAATCTAACAGTAATTAATGTAAGCTTTGTTCGTACCTAAGTTAATTTTTATCGACAAGGTTCACCGCGCTAACTGTGCTTTAAAAAGTTCTCGAGGAAGTGGACCATTGTCATCCTGAATGCATTTCTGTTGAAACCACGTTGTTCTGGATCGATTTCTGGGGAATACGAGCAAAGAACGAGAGTAAGGCTCTGCGAATAAGCTAAAATATTCAGTGCACGCATTCATTTCTTCGGACCGGATCGTGAGGCTGGTTAATTGATAAAGAATATAGAGGGTTGCGTCGATTCTCGGTCAATTACTGGGATTTTTACGTAGCTTCAGAATTACATGAAGATAGAAGAAATGGGAATGTTTTTGGGAGTTTTCTTTTTAAAAACAAACACATTTCGTAATTTTTTCAAAAGATCAGTAATGATGATTTTTTCGTAGCTTCACAATTACATGAAGATATAAGAAATGGGAATGTTTTTGGCAGTTTTTTTTTTTAAAAGAGACATCTTTTCGTCATTCAAAAGATCAGTAATGATAGTGGTTCAGTCGGGTCGCCTCTCGTTTCTAATGTTCCACAAAAGGTGTTTGACATAAAACTCGAAATTTGAATAGCGCACTAGCTGCCATATAATAAAAAAATGTATAGTTTGCGTTATCTATATCTTTTTTACGAAAATTGCGCGGACGGAGGAGTATGAAATTTTCCACATTTATAGAGAATATAAAGAAGAAGTGCACAATGCTAATATTTTTTTTAATAATGCGTAAAAAATACATTAAATCAATAAAGAAAACATTACACACACTGCATACCATGTATTGACGCACACACGCATGCATACTATTTATTGTCAAACTTTTGTTCATGACGTCTGTTGTCAAATTGAGATTTAATATTGTTTGTCTTTGTTAATATTTTTTATAGTGTAGTCTTGGCGAAATTTGTGATTATAGAAGTATAAAATACAATCATAATAGTGTACAAACTTACAATTCCAATTAATTATAGTCGAATTTCGACTACTGCGGGACCTCTAGTCTATATAAATATAAAAATGAATTGCTGTTCGTTAGTCTCGCTAAAACTCGAGAACGGCTGGGCCGATTTGGCTAATTTTGGTCTTGAATTATTTGTCGAAGTCCAGAGAAGGTAGATAAATATGAAAATGCTTGGAATGAAATAAAAATAACAATTTTGTTTTTCCTTTGATGTGTCCCCTGTCGGACGGATTCCTTTTGTTTGTTTCAAATTTATTTTATACAAAAGCTTAGGTTTTTTATTTATCGATTGAGGCACTACGAATTCTGCCGGTTCAATAAGTATATATATTTATTTTATTGCTTAGATGGGTGGACGAGCTCATGGCCCACTTGGTCTTAAGTGGTTACCAGAGTCCATAGACATGTATAACGTAATTGCCGCCACTCACCTTAAGATCTCAGTATAGTTACAGCGGCTGCCCCACCTCTCAAACCGAAACGCATTATTGCTTCACGGCAGAAATAGGCGGGGATAGAGAATTAGCAGTGCTTCGAGGTGTGGCTTATTGTTTTTATAATAAACTAAATGTACCCGTCCGCTTCGCTGGGAATTTAAAACTAACATTATTATTTCTCACCGCCACAAAGATTCTCATCATTAACGCGGGGCAACTGGTGTAGGGAGTCCAAAACTCATATAAATATTAGCCTATCCATTAAGTACGTGTATTTTCTACATGGATACCAAGTTTCAAGTCAATCGGATGCATGGTTCAGTAGTTATAACGGAACTTCTGTAAAAACCACTGTAGATTTATATATTAGTATAGATTAGTTTATTTTTTGTTTACAGCGATCGTGTCTCCTGTCCTGACAGATTGCACAGCTGAGACTTCCATTTCATGACTCAAGGTTGACGTCGACCATTCGTAGGCAGCGGCTCGGCTCTGCCCCTGGCATTGCTGAAATCCATGGGCGACGGTAACCATTCGCCATCAGGTGGGGCGTACGCTCGTCTGTCTACAAGGGCAATAAAAAAAGTTGTTATGTTTAGTGGTTCCGGTAGCCGCTGATCATCTAGTGGTTCGTGAGTTCGTCTGTCCATTAAATATAATAGGTGATGTCATCATTTAGGTGATGTCGTATGGACAATTATATCATGGAGAGTCTTCAGGACCGCATTGCTGTGCAGAAATCTGGTGGACTGTACCTATCGACCCTGATGCGGAGACTGCAAGCTTTGCGCGCGCATACCACGCTGATGCTGTAGATCTCCACGTTTTTAACGTAATAAGAATGTCTCTGATGTTTTTTTTCGAAAAAAGTCAATTTTGAAACAAAGAAAAAAAAAGCTTTTTTATTGGTATCGTTGTTAGAAAGCACATCGTATTGAAATAGTAATGAAAGTTTTTTTAGTTTTATAATTAAACACACAGTAATGAATTACTGGTTTTATTGGTTGTAGGATTTCTTGTGAGTCCGCACGGGTAGGTACCACCACCCCGCCTATTTCTGCCGTGAAGCAGTAATGCGTTTCGGTTTGATGGGTGGGGCAGCCGTTGTAACCATACTGAGACCTTAGAACTTATATCTCAAGGTGGGTGGCATTGTAGATGTCTATGGACTCCAGTAATCACTTAACACCAGTTGAACTATGAGCTCGTCTACTTATCTAAGTAATAATAAATCAAATATCTAAACGGTTTCCATAATCGAAAACGCGCTCTTTTTAATACGCTTTTATTATTATAATATATGTATAGTTATGTTTGTAACGGAATCTTTGAACATGATTTTGACTCCCTTCAAAACGTCGCATTAACTCCAAATTTGGTACACTTATTAAGGACCGATGACAATTCGATACACAAAAAAATTTAAAAATTTTTTTTGAAAAAGTTGAAAATCAACTAAAAAATAAATAATAGTTTAAAAAACTAACAAAATACGCGTTTATATAAAATCCAACTAATAAATAGAAAATAAATTTTAGTAAATTTGAATTAAAAATAGTGTAAGAAAAAATGATTTTATTGTAAAAAAAGCGTGGGGTGCATGGTATCAGTAGTTATAGATATTTTATGAACAGGTATGAGTAGAAGGGTTATTTTGATAATATCCTGAAAAGCACCTCACGACTTTTACAAAAAAATCATTTTTTCTTACACTATTTTTAATTCTAATTTGTTAAAATTAATTTTTTATTTTTTAGTTGGATTTTCTATAAAAGCGTATTTTGTTAGTTTTTTAAAACTATTATTATATTTATTTATTTTTCTTTAAAATGCACGTAAACAAATCGCAAGCTTACATAATTACGGTCCTGAATTTCCTTGTCAACTTCATTAATGCATTCGTGAACTTATCAATGATCATTACGAATTCATATTATTTACGAGACTAATTTAAAGTTAAATCGCGAATGGCTGGCTTTATCGATAAGCGAAACACGCGAATGCTACGGTAGGCGGGAAGCCGGCAGACGCCGTATGGCCGACCGCGGCAAACATCGCGTCGCGCCCGTCCCGGCGCCGGCCCGTAAGCAGTACGCGTACGTGCCGTGCCCGAGGTCCGAGGAGGTCGGCACGGAGTTCGCGCTCCAACTCCTCAAGAACTACCACGATGAACCAGAGACGCCAAGGAAAATCGTACACGGTAAGTTTCGTATTTTTTTTTAGCCCTTGTAGGCAGACGAGCATACCACCTGTGGGTGAGTGATTACCGTCGCCCATGGACTTCAGCGATGTCAGGGCCAAGCCGTTGCCTACCTACATAGTAGTATAAGAATTATAGCGGGAAAAACTTTTGAATGAAAGTTTGTTTTTTCCTTCCTATTCACCGGTAGCCTAAAGGGATGCTCAGACTGGTAGGCGGGCTCACGGCCTCAATCTGAGAGAATTTGCACTAGCCCTAGCAAGAGCAGCTTGAGAAGATCCGACGAGAAACTCAGTAGGTTAAAGAGAACTATGATAACCTCCAGCTAAATTCGCGGTTCTTATTTTTCACAACTCTAGTGGTTCTAAATAAGATTAGTGGTCAATAACTGAGATTGTATTTTTTTAAAGTTGTTCATAAATCGCGTCATTGAAAATAATTAGAAATTTAACTAATCGATTCAGAGAATTGAATCTCTTAACTTTAAACTTCACAGATCACTAGTATAATCCAATTCAAGTTGTTCAACTTTAAATAACATTCGATAACCTAATGAAAATTAATATCCAAACGATATATTTGCTCATTGAAGTATCCCAGTAAGATTTTTCTTAATTCATTTTCATGTTTTGAATTTGAACGAGGTCGCAATGAAAACATATTAAAAATAAACGTCGTGTTATGAGAAACTGTCGCAAGGGTATTACGCTGTGTCAGAATTTATGCGCGGGTCTTGATCTTAACCGCTTTTAATGTGCATCGGATATCTAAAAGATAAAGTTTGTCGCATAAAAATACCATTAACATCGGTATCCTTGAAATATGGAGGAAAAATGGTTTTTCCATGAAATATCCGTCGCTTACGTCACATAAATTAAATAAGTCAACAAAAAAAAATCGCCAAAACGATTCGTATCGCCCATTTGAGAGTGAGTTGTCTTGGACAAGCGCAGAATCAAGCTATTGCCTACCCAAAGAAATATCTCAAGCCGTGTCTGAAGAAGAACATCAGGAACACCGAGGAGAGAAGTCATTCCAGAGCCCCGGTGGCGGATCGTACGATAGTAAAAAGAAAATGACGCGATCAACTCAAATAGTTCCTTAGAGCACTTTCCAACCAAAATCCACTCTGGATTCAAAGAGTTCAAAACCACTAAGCGCTCCCGATTATCGACAGTACGGCTCTATATGGGGTCCAACGGAACAAGCAATTCAGAGACCCGTACAGATCAGAGTAAAGATTCACGGGGTGTAGGAGCTATGGCTTGTAAAGCGGTAAAGTAGCGCTTAATGACCCCCATTATTTATTTTTTATTGTTTAGACACGTGAAAGAGCTCACGGTCTGGTTTTAAGCGGTTATCAACAACGCAAATTGCGCCACCCGCATTGAGACATGAGTTCTAAGTCTCCGTTTCTATAGTGAATTTAATCCTTGACGCTGAAACGCATTACTGCTTCGCCGTAAAATGGGCAGAGCACTGAATTCGTTCACAATCTACCACCAGTGTTGGCGTACAATAAACACTCATGCATATCGTATTGAGCTTGGTTTGTTTTACCTTAATTCCCGGGACATCGAGATCCGTGGGAATCATCGTTGACGACACGTTTTTAAACAGTTTGAGATACAGTGGTACTTACTATACAGTTAGGTATTTTAACCCCTCTAAATTTCATAAATCAAGTCCTATGGGTGCTACTACACAGCTATCATAATCCCTCTAAATTTCATAAATCTATTTCCTATGGATTTAGGCTGTGCGTTGTCTGTTGGTCTTCGCGGAGATGAGACTTTTACTCTTTTAGTTACTATTGGTAGGACCTCTTGTGAGTCCGGGTAGGTACCATCACTCTGCCTATTTCTGCAGGGTGGGGCAGCCTTTGTAACTATACTGAGACCTTAGAACTGTCATCTCAAGATGGGTGGCGGCATTTACGTTGTAGATGTCTATGGGTTCCGGTAACCATTTAACACCAGGTGGGTCGTAACCCCGTCCACCGATGTAGTCAATAAAAAATAAAAAATAAACTTGATGACCAGACACCTCGTTCACCAAAATACTGCGCTGCCTATAAATATATCGAACAGCATACGGAACAGTGTAACTGCCTATAGTATAATCTTAGTGGGGCGTGCATCGTGCCAATAATCGTGGTCTATTTATTGTGAATGCATTATTACATTTGACATTATTGGCGAACATCGCAAATAAGAGTTCTTTAAAAACTAGCTGACCCGGCAAACGTTGTTTTGCCATATAAATTATTTCTAGAAAAGATAAATAACCTAGATACCGACTGCAGCGCCCTCTGTCGGGCTGATTTATGAATCTAAACCATCCAGGGTATCATCCAAACGCATACAAAAAAAAACATTAAAATCGGTCCAGCCGCTTAGGAGGAGTTCAGTGACAAACACACACAGAAGAAGTATATAGTACTTATATATAAAGATATTTAAGCGGTATGTTTGTTATTATTTAGGTTAGCCAATATGATTTTATTGAATTAAAAACTAGATAGTTTTTATTGAAACTTGATTACATTGATTGTAATGACTTTGACTTGACTTGATTAACTATATTGTTGATTTGCGATTTTTTTTGTGATCGTTTTTGGGTCAAGATTTGTATTGCAGTATTAACACCCCTTGACGTCGAGCGGTGGTCATTTAAGTGTAGAGTCAAATAAGTAACTCTGTCGCTGTTTCACTATACCTCCATGTCCTTACCTCAAGGTGGGTGGCGCATTCAAGGTGGGTGGCGCATTTACATTGTAGATGTCTATGGGCTCCAGTAACCACTTAACACCAGGTGGGTTGTGAGCTCGTCCAACTATCTAAGCCAGGGGTGGGCAAAAGCCGGCCGGATCCGGCCCTTTTGCTAATTTTATCCGGCCCGTTGAAAAATTCCGCACATAAATTTTTTTAAACTCTTTTATGAGATTTTGTTGACATCAGCATTAAAAAAGCATATGCGGTAAAAAAGCATATGCGGTATAGTCCTCCGGCCCGGGAGACATTTTGAAAATTTCATTTTGGCCCGCGCTTTAAAGTATTTGCNGGATCCGGCCCTTTTGCTAATTTTATCCGGCCCGTTGAAAAATTCCGCACATAAATTTTTTTAAACTCTTTTATGAGATTTTGTTGACATCAGCATTAAAAAAGCATATGCGGTAAAAAAGCATATGCGGTATAGTCCTCCGGCCCGGGAGACATTTTGAAAATTTCATTTTGGCCCGCGCTTTAAAGTATTTGCCCACCCCTGATCTAAGCAATAAAAAAAATAAAATAAAATATCGAAACAAAATTCTGAAAGGGTAGAAGTCGGGTAGGGATCCGCCACCTCTATCTGCGATTGCTCATCTTTCTCCACTTGTAGTTCAACGATATGGTCAGTGACCTTAAATATTACCACGGAGTCCTTGCTTAGGTCCGTAATTGAATGTAGGATGTTTATCTTTTCTCTGTAGCTGTTGAAGTTTTCTGAAACCATTACCACCACATCTGAGATATCACTGTACTGCTTGTGTTTACGTAAGCCGGTTCGTTTGTGAATCTCTCCAAAACTACTGGCTCGATTTTGATGAATCTTTAACGTTTGCTTGCTTTAAACTTATTAAACTTAAAAATACATAAAATTCATATTATATTCTACAAATTTAACGCTCACCGTGAGTGGGGTGGACCGTATGTTCGTCTGCCTACAAGGGCAATAAAAAAATAAAATAAAAATTGGCACACATGCCTAATGTGTATAAATTACGCTAACTATATAACTCTCTCACTCTATAAGACTCATCACTCACATCTATAAGATTGTTTATTTGTGGATTAGTTTATTTGTTCGCGCTTTTCAAGCTTAAACTTCGTTTGTCGGATTGAAATTTACCGTTAGTAAGAAGAGCGATAGCGTGATTATTAGCAAGCGTATGATGCGTAGACGTAATGAGCATATTTTATTATACCACAATTTGAATTTCGCAAAAAGAAAAAAAATCATGACGGCCTGTTTTGAACGGTATAAAACTAATTGCAGTACCGTAATTAGCTCGTTTCAACATCAAAAATCATACAAACTTTTTTAAAGCGTTGCTTTTGAAAACGAGTCACGAAAAAGTTTCATCCGTCTGAACACTTTGTTAAGTGTCTTTCGTATGAAGCCCTGTGGAGTTCCGCATTGCGCTTACAAGCTCACATATCTGACTCGCCTTGCTTTTGTTATGGCCGTAACATCCCCGTTGAATGTTTAATCATCGTCGAGCCCTAAATACAGGTCCTTCAGATATTAGATTCGATGCGAACGATTGTGGCTCTTGTCCGCACGAGCTTAGAGGTTGTTGTTGTCCGCAGTCGTGTTGTGAAGCGAGTTTTTGAAGCCAACAAAGAGAAGACTTTAGCATTTAGTTAGACTATAATTAATGACGGCGATTCAGACGAAGACGATTTTAGTAGAACTGTCTATGTTATAATTAGTGAGAGCATTTATACGGAACATTATCTATACTAATATGTAAATCTGCAGTAGTTTTTACGGATGTTCCGTTATAACTACTGAACCATACATCCGATTGACTTGAAACTTGGTATCCATGTAGAAAATACATGTACTTAATGGATAGGCTAATATTTATATGAGTGTTGGACTCCATAATAATAATGACAATAAATAATAATGTTAATTTTATATAAATGCCCAGCGAAACGGGCGAGTACCTACGGCTAGTAGGTACCTAATATAAATCGTGTTGTAAAATCGAATTTATAATTTGCGTGACTACTTGTAGTTGGCGGTAATATAGTGAATCTCTTGAAGTTAGTCCTAATTGTTCCTGTTGTCGATTTACACGATTAAAAAAAGGAGGCGAAGACATACTTTTTTATTTTTCAATACTTTCAGACTTCAAAAATATGGAGGTTTTCAATTAAGCTGTTTTTATGGGTGTTACCTTAGCATTACGGGTGAAAAAAAAAGAGGATTTTTCTAGTTGAACTGATTTT